CATCATGTACTACAAGTGGACCTGTCTCAGATTTGTTCATTTTGTAATGATATCTTTAATTCTCTAATTTTGGTGAATATTTTTGTTATTTTTGGTAAAAAGTGATATTTTCAACTACATGTGGAGCTCTCTCAGATTTGTTCATTTTGTAATGATATCTTTAATTTTGGTGAATATTTTTGTCATTTTTGGTAAAAAGTGAGATTTTCGACTTCTTGTTAAAAACCGCAAGTCTGATTGCTTTTATATTACATATATAGGTATTACATGTGGACCTTGTTAATTTCGTGGTGATATCTTCAATTACTTAATTTTGATGATTATTTTTGTCATTTTTGGTGAAAAGTGATATTTTTGAATTCTTGTTGAAAACAGCAAGGTCCTTTGCTTTGATACTATACATATTGTTCATTTTCTAATGATATCTTCAGTTCTTTAATTGAAATGTGCATTGCTAACAGCGGAGCTATCTCAGCCGACAGGCTGCTTGTTTTATATAAAATAATAATTTTGAATAATATTTTTGGTTGCAGGACATGACGCGAATGCTATTTCAGTTGTTTGTTTTCGGATTACTCTATCTTCATTTGGCTATTGCTAAAAAAGATATGGAGCTTTATTGTGGAGGTAAGGCATTGAATATATTTTATTATTTTATTTTTATGTGACATTGATAGATAAATATCAGTACTGTTTTCCTTTCATTCAAATGGTTGGAAATAGTGAAAAAGTGGATATGATGTCACACTTTACCCACAGTCCTTTGCTGGAGAAACAAGATGGCAGACAACATAATAAAGTTGCATAACCAGAGAATGAAAAGTGATATAAAAAAACTGTAAATTGCATTCTCCTACACTTGTAGAGTGTTATGTTGGAGAATTATGTTGTTTGCCTTGACTTCCACTTCAATTGTATTCAAACATAATGTGGGATAGCTAGAATCAAGGAGGGTAACTTTAAATGCTGCATGTGCATAACATGCATGTGACACTGCTTATAATGATGTCATTTCCAACCAACCAATCAAATTGATAACTGACCCTGATGTGATGTTCAGTGTACATATGCATTTGGACCTACCTGAAATATATAGATTCTGGACAATTAAGTTTGTGAGTCTTTCATTGACATGTCAATTCTCAGAAGTTCTTTGACATAGTTACTAATATTAAATATGCATACTAAACAATTAATAAACAGCTAAGAATCTCCTCAGCATCTGGTTGTTTTTATGAATGGATGAAAAAAAAAGTATGCATATAAGTGGCCAGGTGATGAGGGCATGTAATTATCTCGATATTTCTCTAAAATTGATAATATTGTTAGCACCTCTATAAATTCTCGTTCACCAGATTTTGAGATGAATTTATCATTATGATGACTTTTATATAAAAATAATTACAAAAGACCATTTAATTATTAATGGCATCTAAAATATTCAGCCAATAGTAAGTTTTCATGACATCAATGACCAATCAGACAAATCATAGTGAATTATGGGTAATTATGGGTAGTGGTGCAATGATGGGTGCCTGTGTGACCTTGCGACCTTGATACAAATTGCAATTGTGGTGTAAAACTTTTACTGATTTCATTGCAGCATGCTTAGCTTTGGTGGACGAGGTGGAATATGCCATCAATTCAGTTGATCCCAGAGAGACCATCGATGTCGGGTCATTCCGGGTTTTACCTGATGGATCTCAAAAACAGATGAAGGTCAGTAAGTGAATAAAACACTTCTAATTGGTGTTCAGTGGATTTTATAATTCCAAAATGGCTGTTGAAATTTTAATTAGTCAAACCGTTAATGGTGTTACTTCAAGTATAAACAAGGATTGATACGATAAAGACGTGCCACTTTCATGTACGGTGATTTACGATGAAGATACGATGAGAAGAGAACTCTAGCGATTCACAAACGTTTGAAAGTGATCACATATTGTTAACAGCAATCAAACATAGTTCTAACCAATACTGCGGAAATCAAGCAAGTGTTCAAAACGTAATAAAAAAGACGCCGCCACCGGTGCGCGTGGCCCAATCAATTGACTAGCTGTCAGCTAACTTGTCAAACGAAAACATCGACGCGCCAAACTGAAAAGGTTGACGCGCCAAAATAAAAATGATAAACCACGCCCACTGCTTCAAAACAACCTGTTCACGTGTGGTGCCAGACAAAATGAAGTCTAGCAGAGATTTACGGCCGTTTCAAACGCCAACCAGA